TAATCTAATGTTTCGGTCGTCAGTGATCCGGAACAGTTGATAATTTTTTTTCGTATTTCGTAAAACAGTCTTTCTATTATACTAATCAATAATTTAATAGTTTTTACATTTCTGTTGCAAAGTTACATTTTCATGAGTATGTTACAGTGTTAAATGTAATAATTTATTAATTTATTAATTTTCTGTCGGCTAAATCTGAGTTTACATTTTCGTGATATTAATTTTTAAATTAGAACTGCATTAATGTATATTAAATAGAAATTTATATGGAGGAAAGTTATGTAGTCAAAAATTATGTTAAGCGGTGATAGTCTCTTTGAAACATATAAAACGTATAAAACGTATAAAAATTTTTGCTCGTTTATTGTTTCAGAGAGCAAGAAATATGTTCATTACGTAACTGTCTTTTCCATTGTTAAATAAAATAATTTAATTATAATGAAATGAATAATGATATAATTGAATTATTCAAACTATGAAATAATGTTTGGGAATTCAATCACTGATTGAATTGTTATAAGTGAATAGTTAAAGTTGTTAAATAATACACAAAAATATCATCGAAATGCATTATTTATACAGTTTGAACAATTCATTTTAAACAATTAAATTATTTTATTTCTACAATATTTCCAGACATTATTTAATAATTTTCTCTACTTTTATATTACGATTGAACAATTAAATTAATTATTTCATTCAATAATTCAAAGTCAAAATTTCTCCGAAAATTTTCTTAGTACATTGTTCGAGATTGTTACAAATTATTAGTTAAAAGTTTTAAATCGTACTTAGAAGCATTACAGAAAAGAATTTATTGTTTAATTGTTGCAAGTAAATTATTAGAAATGTTAGATAATGTTTAAACAACTAGAATATTCAAAAATAATGTTTAAAAGTTCACTTCGAAAGTTTGATCGATGTGCACACGATGAAATTTCAACTTATAATGACCTTTTTTATTGCTTCAGATAAAGTCAGTGATGCACAACATATGATAGTCTTTGCCAATATTTCCAAAAATACACTTTTCCCATTATAGTAATCCAAGTTTTAGGTTTCATTGTTTAAAATTTTACAATTCTACAGTCTTATTGTCTTTTTACGAAATGAAACTGACGTTTGCACGGTTAGTTCTCTACTTAATAATTCTGTTGATATGTAAATGCTAATTTATATGTCTGTAA